TAAATTACTTAAGTGGAAACTTTTCAAGGAGAGATGGAGAAGCCATGTTGAACTGAGTTGAGGAATGAGAGGGAGGAAAAGAAATAGAGATACTGAAAATACAACAACACTTCTGAGAAATTTGTGCCAGGTAGGAGGCAATATGATATGTGGGCTTGAATAAAGATTTTTTTTTATATGGAGGTATTTATTGGAGTTTTAATAGGTGTGGTACACAGTGATGATTTATTGACTTCTATATAACATGTAGAATATATTATATTTAATTACTTTTAATTCCCTTTATATGATATTTTACATTATGAGACTCATAATTCAAAGTATCTTTGCATTTAATTTCAGAAGAGATGAATTTAGCTCATTACACACTGTTGCTCTTAATTAACTCAGTTTTCTACAATAAAGGTATAGAAATTAAGTTACCCTCAAACCATATGTGTTTCTCTTATGCAAAAGTGTAATCAGAGCCAAACATTAAGTTATGAAAAAGATTCTTCCATTATTGATCCTGGCTCTCTGTGGCAAGCATTTCTTTAGTTATATCAAACTCAATTGGATAGTGAAGAAGCAGCAGCTGGAAGGAAGTTCCATGCATCAAATAGTTTACTCAGGTGTAAATCTTTAAAAAATAGTTAATACTCTCCCTCTGCCTGACATCTTTTATGGAGTAGATTTATCTGATAGTGAAGAAGCAGCAGCTGGAAGGAAGTTCCATGCATCAAATAGTTTACTCAGGTGTAAATCTTTAAAAAATAGTTAATACTCTCCCTCTGCCTGACATCTTTTATGGAGTAGATTTATCTATGATTTTTTTTTTTCAAATTAAGTAAAATTATATATTCCTTTTTTTTTTTTTTTTTTTAATTTGGTGGCTGACTGGTACGGGGATCCGAACCCTTGACCTTGGTGTTACAACATCATGCTCTAACCAAGTGAGTTAACTGGCCAGCCCTATATATTACTTTAAATCCATGAGAAAGATGTAAAGAATTGAAATGAATTTTTTTTTATGTTTTACAATTATGAAAGAATTTAAAGTCATTATAAATATTTCATGTAATATGGGAAAATAAAAGGGGTACTTTCCCTCTCAATTCTATTACACAGATATTTTGGGGGTATATTCTTTCTTATTTTTTTTTCCTATGCATGTTTAAAAGCAGGCTTTTAAATTGTGTGTGTGTACACCTCATATAATATGTACTATTTTGAAACCTGCTTTTGTCACTTAGCAGCATAACTATGTTCTTAAATCGCGTTATAGTATGTTAAATCATATAAGCTGTACCTGTTTCTACTTCATTTTGCTTCAAGCCCATCAGTATTATCAGCTTAGTTTCTCTAATCCAACAATACAAAAGTTTAGCTAAAAGAGGCTGAAAGAAAGCAGAATCAGTATAAATCTGATGGTTTATTAAGATTATTAATGGAATGAGTTTACTTTAACTTGCTTGAGTTATGGAAGTTATGGTTTTTTCAAAGATAGGCAGATTATGGCAGTATGGGAAAAGCATGGAACATATTTTCAAAGGAATGGCATGCCGGGGCCGGCCCGGTGGCGCACTGCTATAGTGCGCTGCTTGGGAGTGTGGTGGCGCTCGCGCCGAGGGTTCGGATCCCACATACAGACCGGTTCCTGCTCACTGGCTGAGCGAGGCGCGGGAGCAACACCGAGGGTTGTGATCCCGT